CATTATAAAATTATGTTAAAAATTTGTTTAGTTCGGCCAAGTTGGGACCTTCTTATTTCTGTTGTACTATTTTTTTCGAGGACTTTTAGGATGCTGATGCCCCATTTCCTTACGTGTTCGAACAACTCGGGTGGACAGCTATAAAATGGATTGTAACTACGGGGGCTGTATTTGCCCTTTGTACCAGTCTTCTGGGTGCTATGTTTCCACTTCCTCGAGTTCTATATGCAATGGCTTCTGATGGTCTTCTGTTCTTTTCTTTATCAAAAGTTCATCCTAAAACACAAACGCCACTTTTAGCAACTATTATTTCTGGAATATTTGCAGGTATACTTACGTTATTTAAATAATATCTCTGTAAATAATTCTTTTATGTGTAACTTTTAAGGACTAATGTCTATGATATTCAATCTCGATCAACTTGTGGATATGATGTCAATTGGTACCCTTTTGGCTTATACCATTGTATCGGTGTGCGTTTTAGTCTTAAGGTAGATGAAAATCAAACAATTGTATTTTAAATTATGTAGATGAACAAAGATTTAAATTTCTTTCAGATATGAACAAATAACCGATTATTCTCATCTGAAAAAGGACTTGGAAATGAAAAAACAAGATGTCGTGTTATTCGATGTTTTTAAACAAGTGTTTAATTTGAACAACAATAAATATCCGAACGAATTTTCGGCCAACATAATCAAATGGAGCATAGTGGCTTTTAGTAAGTTATTTTTTAAGGTTCCATGATTTTTCATCCCCCAACATAATATCACCGGACAAAATATCCCCGACAAAATATCCCTGTGACAAAATGTCCCCGTGACAATATATCTCCAGACTAAATATCCCTAGACAAAATATCCCCCCCACCCTAAAAATTGCTTTAAGATTTTTTTTCCAATATTTTATTCAACCTAACCTAACCTAACCCTGTCAAACTTGCGCCATGCTACCTTGCCGTACGTTCCCTTCCTTACCAACCACACCTCACATGATCAAACATAATACAATCCAACCCAAGTCAATTCAGCGCAACCTAACCTAACCTAACCT